AGAAAGTAACTATATTCTCATTGCAAATGCTCCTATTAAGTCCTAGAAGGACAAAGTCTGTGGTACGCTTAAGCGTATAGACTAATCGGTTTCAAATCAACTTCTTGTTAAAGAAGATGAGCAAATGATCAAAATGATCATAACAAAGGAGGCAAGTGATCTAGAAGATCACATGACGTAACACTTCATAAAATCTCAAGAGAGATTCAGGTACCTGAAAATATAAATGAAGAGATCTCTATGTTATGTCTTTATTAAAAATGTTGAAACTGATATAAAGTGTTTGTCGACGACATCTATGATAGCGCTAAATATATATGAGGATCTTAAGTCTGGAGTAACAATTCGAATAGAATTTGTTTCATACGAAAGACATATAGTTTTGGACCTTCAGTTCAAACACTTGAAAGTATGAAGCCAATGATATGTGCAAACAGTTTTCGATATCTTATTTGTCTAGCATGACATGAAAACTTGATATGCATCTAAAGTCTATTATATGACTTATATGACTTAACTTATATACCAATCCTTGAAGGATTTAAATCGCTTAAAGCATATACAATTCTTGGTCCTGAAGTACCATATCCTAAATGCAATTTGTGCACATATGTATCTTGCTATAACTATAAGCATGATAATATGATAGCGAGAATCTGTATGGAGATGTTGAAGAGTCATTCAACAAGATCATATGAAGATAATTCATCTCTATCAAGAATGATGATTTCAAGGTGCAATATATTCATTCAAGTTAATATGGCTGATTTGTTTATCAAATATCTACCAAAGATCTTTTGAAGATGGTGAACAAGATTGGAATGCAAATGCTTAAGGATGTAAAGTGATGCTCTCACGAGGGGGAGTTAATACGCGTTGTACTCTTTATCCCTTAAAAGGTTTTGTCCCACTGGGTTTTCCTTGCGAGGTTTTTAACGAGGCAACAAAAAGGCGTATTATTAAATATGTGTACTCTTTTTCCTTCTCTAGAATTTTTTTCCCACTGGATTTTATTTTAGTTAAGGTTTTAACGAGGCACATTATCTGTTGAATAGACATTCAAGGGGGAGTGTTATAAATAGAATTTTATTTATGGTGAACGTCTATATATAGAGAGATTGTAGGGTTTATTACTTGGTGGCTAAGTCACCCTCTCCCTATAAATAGAGGGGTCCTATTCCATTGTAAATCATCCCAAATCAATAAAAGTTCTCTCCCTCTACTTTTCTCTGCAATACTCTTCTTCTTCTTTTATTGTTTTATAACCATTTGATTGTTGTTTTTAAGAATCTTCATGATTTTTTCTCAAAAGAAAAAAAAAGACTTCAAAGAAAAACGTCTTTGAAAAGATATGTAGAAATCAAGTCCAATCAATGAGTCGTATATTAATCGCAAGTTTGTTGGAGTCAGTTACTCTTCCACTTCGTGCCCACTAAATAACTACTGTAATCTTTTAAAGGCAAATTAAGTTTTTCTAATGCTAAAAGTTATTTAAATTTCGCATTTATCTTTTCATTAACATATAAGTTTCTAATTAGATTAGAAAAGAATTTGGCAAATTGAATATTGGAGCTAATGTCAATGCAATAACAGTAATTGTATGGGTCGAATTTGATCGATCACGTCTCAAAGTCAACACGACCAACTGCCGAATACCTACGAGTCGACATAAGGGGACGACCCGGGGGCAAGAGGAGAAACGACCCCGCGTTATCGTTGGCTCTGTAATAGAATGTACTCTAATTTTATCTTCCCGTTAATTAAGTAAGGATCTTTTATTATATAAAGGGGATCCGGGTCTTGTAACTGGGGATCTTATTTCTTCTGCGGGGAATACACAAGCTCATTGTCTCTTTCATCTTTATTTCTCTACTCTTCTCTCTCTCTCTCCTTCACTATTACTGATATTCCGATTATTAAAGGTATCCTAGAGTTTATTATCTTCGATTACGATTTACCCCTTCATCATTTTGATTGATTTGCTCAAATAGAGTTAATATCTTTTGAGTCAAACAATTTGGCGCCGTCTGTGGGGATTTCTGTAGTTGAAATCATAGTTCTCACTTGGGATATTAAAAACAACGATCACTGTTCTTCACACTCCATAGAAACCAACGATGGCAGAAAAAGAAGCAAGGTTGAAGATGATAGCAAATGTCTCAAATAACCTCTTGGACTCCCTCAACGAAGCCGGTAGAGAAGATACCGAGAATATAACACGAAGGGATACACGGAGGGAGAGATCTCACCTTCTCCACTCGAGGATCTGACGATCTTACGTGAAAGAGGAGCTTCTACGTCCACGGCAAAAGAAACACCACCAGCAGTCAAAAAGCTGCTCGAGGAGTGGTTGGCGAGCGCTATAAGCAGCATGCTCGAAAAACCCCCTCAAGGAAATACCGAAGATTCGCCGGCGGCAGGAATCGCTGCTGTCACCGGCGAGCCAAGCACTGCACGAATCAGCAATACCCGCACTGTCACCGATGCAAGTGATGATACACTCGCAACCATCCTAAAGAAAATGGAAGAGATAAAAAACGAGAACAAAGTGCTTCATGATCAAAAGAACACCAGGAAAGGGTTGACAAGATACCTGGCGCCCCTAAGCTGCTGCCAAAACGCGATGTAGGAAGGTTTGTCGAACAACCATACAGTGAGGAAGTTGCTCCCCACCCCATCCCGAAAACCTTCAAAATGCCACCATACTTGAAAATATACGACGGAACCACGGATCCAGAAGATCATCTAATCCATTACGTCACCGCGGTAAAAGGCAATGACCTGTCAGAAGAACAAGTGCCATCCGTACTGATGAAAAAGTTCGGCGAGACTCTGACAGGAGGGGCATTAACATGGTATTCACAGTTACCAGCACGATCGATATCGACGTTCGAGGAGATGGCAGATAAATTTGCCACCGCTCATGCAGGAGCTAAGAAGGCCTAAGCTAGGGTTAACGACATCTTCGCCATCCGACAAACAGCGGGCGAGGGACTCCGAGACTTCCTGGCCTGATTCAATAGGGTGAGAATGGGACTGCCCAATGTGTCAGAAGGAATGGCGGTCGCGGCCTTCCAGAATGGACTAAATAGGAGCGGATCAAAGGCGACTAAAAAATTGCTCAACAGACTCATGAAGTACCCCCCACCACATGGGAAGAAATTCATAACGCCTACTGCGCTGAGGTAAGGGCAGACGACGATGATCTTAACGGGCCAACTCAGCGATTAACGTTGGTTAAAACCGAAGCAAGGAGGGATAGACGCAACGATGGGCGAAGAGATCAGCCCCCGCGTTTCAATCGAGAAAGACACCAGCCTTATGTCAGAACATCCAACCCGCCTCCTCCGAGACATGCAGATGCCGTGCTACGACACACCGCACCTCTTCGAAACGAAAGAGGTATGCCTCCACTATTATCTGCTCATAACTTTTGTGTTTCCACTTCAGAGATAGTGTACGCACCAGAGAAGCTGGGCATGAAGGTACAATGGCCGCCAAAAATGAGATCCGATCCAAGCACAAGAAGGTCAAACGTCCTCTGTGAATTCCATCAGGAAAGAGGACACAAGACCGAGGATTGCATAGGCCTACGACAAGAGGTAGTCAGAATGTTGAACCAGGGGCACCTAACAGAGCTACTCAGCGATAAAGGAAGGGCCAATTTCGCCAGAGGACGCGACCCCTCCCAAGGACCTCCGAAACCACCATCGTCGGCACGCACCATACAGATGATTATTGGCGGTGGCGATGATTCAGTGATCAACCTTGTCAAATTCACCGCCACACATAAACTCAAGCGGACGGTCGCTCACGAACGGTATGACGACTTCGAAGACAGTATCATCTTCAAAAAGTTAGATGCCGACGGTTTGTCTTTCCCCCATTATGATGCTTTAGTTATAACTTTACATATCGCTGATACAGATGTAAAAAGAATCATGGTAGATGACGGAAGCGGCGCGTGTATTATCCACCCGAGAGTCCTCGTACAAATGAGGCTCGAGGATAGAATAATACCGCGTTGCATAACACTAACGGGTTTTAACAATGCAGTAGAGCGGACGTCCGGAGAAATAGTGCTGCCAGTCTTGGCAGGGGGAGTCACGTTGGAAATCACATTCCACGTCATGAACCAAGAAACAGCCTATAATGCTATCATAGGACGCCCATGGATACACACCATGCGAGCCGTCCCCTCAAGCTTTTATCAGGTGATCAAATTTCCCACACCATGGGGGGTATTCAGCATTCGAGGCGAACCGCGCACCGCCCAGGAATGCTATCGGATCGCCCAAGACTGCACACATACCAAGCAACTGAAAGGAGCAAGCGCGGAGGCATAGCAATTAGCCATGTCGGGAACTAAACCCAACCCCCTAGCAGAAGTCATCAGAGACCCTGACGTCGTAGAAGCCTGCAAGGCAACTATAGAAAACCTCGACCCTGTCCAGCTGGACGACGCCGATACCACAAAAAAGGCTTACATAGGGCACAACCTCCCAGAACCAGGTACGTTTCATGAATTTCTGACTAATAACATCAATTTGTTTGCCTTTTCCCTCTCAGATATGCCGGGCATCCCAAGGGATATCGCCACCCATAGGTTGAATGTCGACCCGCTCTATCCGCCAGTACGGCAGGCAAGGAGAAAATTTAATGCCGCAATCAACAAAGCGGTCAGCGAAGAAGTGGACAAATTACTCACCAATGGTTCCATCAGAGAATCGAAGTATCCCCAGTGGGTTGCCAATGTAGTCATGGTCAAAAAGAAGAACGGGAAGTGGCGAATGTGAGTGGACTTCACCGACCTGAACAAGGCATGCCCAAAGGACTCCTTCCCGTTACCCCACATCGACCAACTGATCGATGCAACGGCAGGGCATGAACTGTTGAGCTTTTTGAACGCTTACTCCGGTTACAATCAAATCCTGATGGACGAAGAGGATCAGGAAAAGACAACCTTCATCACCCATCAAGGGACTTATTACTATAAGGTAATGTCGTTCGGAATCAAGAACGCGGGGGCCACTTACCAGCGATTGGTCACCAAAATGTTTAAGGACCAGCTCAGCAAAACGATGGAGGTCTACATTGATGATATGCTGGTAAAGTCGGCAAAGAAAGAGGACCACATTGATCATTTGAAGGAAGCCTTCGAGATATTGAGGAAGTACGGGATGAAGTTGAATCCGGGAAAATGCGCTTTTGGCGTAGCCTCGAGGAAATTCCTGGGCTTCCTCGTATCACAACGAGGGATCCAAGTCAACCCTGATCAGATCAAGGCCATCGATGCAATACCTGAGGTACTAACCAGCAAGAAACGGGAACAAAAGTTAACAGGGCGAATAGCCGCCTTGTCGAGATTCATTTCACGGTCCTCAGCTAGATGCCACAAGTTCTTCAACGTACTAAGAAAGGATCACGGGCTACAATGGAATGAGGAATGCATTGACGCCCTGAAAAAGCTAAAAGCATACCTATCTTCACCACCCCTACTCGTCAAAGCGAACCCAGGCGAATGTTTGCTCGTGTATTTGGCAGTATCCGAGATCGCTGTCAGTGCGGTCTTGGTCAGCGAAGACAAAGGTACGCAATCTCCTATTTACTATATCAGCAAAACTTTAATAGACGCCGAGACAAGGTACCCTCACCTTGAAAAACTGGCCCTGGCCCTAGTCGTAGCTGCCTGCAAGCTAAGACCTTATTTCCAATGCCACCCCATAAAGGTAATAACAACCTTCCCCCTAAGGGGCGTCCTACATAAGCCCGAGCTCTCAGGCAGACTCGCCAAATGGGAAATAGAGCTCAGCGAGCACGATATAACTTACCAACCGCAAACTGCCATCAAGTCGCAGGTACTCGCTGATTTTGTCGCCGACTTTAGCGCGGAGATATTGCCAGAGGCGGAACAAGAAGCGCTCCGCGCTTCCGCATGTACCGACCTCTGGACTCTCTATACTGACGGCGCCTCAAACGCCTCGGGATCGGGACTGGGACTCGTCCTCAAAGTCCCTACGAGCGAAGTGATTCGCCAATCCATACGATGCCTCGAGATGACTAACAACGAAGCCGAGTATGAAGCTGTGATTGCAGGTTTGAAGTTAGCCCTTCAATACGGTGCCCGGCGGCTCATCCTCCATTGCGACTCTCAACTCGTCGTAAATCAAGTCACTGGGACTTTCCAGATCAAAGAGCAAAGGCTGCAGAAATATCAGTCTGAGATCCATAAGTTATTGCGGGAGTTCGAAGAATGCCACCTCGATCAGATTCCTAGAGCACAAAACATTGAAGCAGATGGCCTCGCCAAATTGGCTGCGGCCATCAAGAATATCAATAAAGAGAACGTGGTCACCCTCCTTCACTCGGTCATAGACCATGTCGAGGTACTCTCTCTCAATCTAACTTCGGACTGGCGTAATCGCTTTATATCCTACTTACAGGACGGAACACTCCCGCAAGACAAAAAGGAAGCCAAGAAACTCCGGACACAAGCGGCTCGATACAGCCTAATAGATCATAACCTCTACAAGAAAACGTTCGGCGGACCCTTGGCCAAATGTCTGGGGCCGCACCAAACAAGGCAAGTACTGGAGGAAGTACACGAGGGTCATTGCGGAGCCCACACAGGGAACCGCCCCCTCGTTCGATGCCTCATTCGTGCTGGATACTACCGGCCCACTATGAAAAAGGAAGTAGCAGACTATGTCCGGAGATGCGAGCAGTGCTAGAAGTACGCCCCTATGATACATAAAGCAGGCGAACTACTCCATTCCGTCACGTCGCCATGGCCTTTCATAAAATGGGGATTGGACATAGTCGGCCCCCTTCCGGCAGGACGAGGAAAGGTACATTTCCTTTTGGTTTTAACTGACTATTTCTCTAAGTGGGTGAAAGCAGGTGCGTACGCACAAATACGCGAACAGGAGGTCATCGCCTTTATATGGAAGAATATTATATGCCGTTTCGGCATCCCCAAATAGATCAGCTACGACAACGGATCCCAGTTTGTCGGAAAGAAAACGATCGAGTTCTTCGAAAAATGGCACATCAAGCGCATACTCTCCACACAATATCATCCCGCTGCGAACGGCCAAGCCGAGTCCTCCAACAAAGTGGTATTGAACATATTAAAAAAGAAGCTCGAAGAAGCCAAAGGGCTATGGCCTGAATTATTACCTGGAGTACTATGGGCATATCGAACTGCACCAAAGTCCAGCACGGGAGAAACGCTATATTCACTGGTCTACGGGACCGAAGCGGTCATACCCGTCGAAGTTGGGGAGCCCAGCCTGAGATACTCCCATATAAGCGGAGCAGTTAACGACGAGAGTAGGTTGCAAGACCTAGATATGGTCGAAGAACGGAGAGATATGGCCCACATAAGAACGATAGCCCAGAAGCAGCAAGTAGAGAGGTATTACAACAAGAAGGCAAAGGTAAGATCACTCAAAGTTGGCGACTACGTCCTCAAAGCCAAAACACTGGCATCAAAGGACCCAAATGAAGGAAAGCTGGGAACCAACTGGGACGGACCATATAAAATCACAGCGACGGCAAACAAAGGAGCCTTCCAATTGGAAATAATGGAAGGAAAGCCGCTCCAAAATAACTGGAACGTCGCCCACCACAAGTACTTCCACTTCTGAAAGGTGTCTCCTAAGTCGTACTCTTTTTCCCTCACCCGAGTTTTGTCCCAATTGGGTTTCCTCGGGGAGGTTTTTAATGAGGCGGTAAAGGGGAAACCTTGTGGATCAAAGCGCAGTTCACCACCTCGGCCCGTCGACACGGTCTCTAGGCCAAAGTAATGAAGGGACTACACTAATCAATCTCCATTGTATACACAGAAATCTCCATTATATGAACGGAAGTCGATCTCCATTGTACAAACAGAAATCTCCATTATATGAACGGAAGTTGATACACTAGTCAATCTCCATCGTATACACAGAAATCTCCATTATGCACCCGAATCTCCATCGTCGAAGCAACATGATAATGTCCAAGGCCATCAGTTTGACCTCGTTCGAACCGCGACGGATACTACTTCGACGACAGACGAAGCAACATCCTAATGGCCAAGGCCATCAGTTCGACCTCGTTCGAACCGCGGCGGATACTACTTCGACGACAGTCGAAGCAACATCCTAATGGCCAAGGCCATCAGTTCGACCTTGTTCAAACCACGACGGATACTATTTCGACGAAAGTAGAAGCAACATCCTAATGGCCAAGGCCATCATCAGTTCGACCTCGTTCGAACCGCGACAGATACTACTTCGACGACAGTCGAAGCAACATCCTAATGGCCAAGGCCATCAGTTCGACTTCGTTCGAACTGCGACGGATACTACTTCGACGACAGTCGAAGCAACATCCTAATGGCCAAGGCCATCAGTTCGACCTCGTTCGAACCACGACGGATACTACTTCGACAACAGTCGAAGCAACGTCTTAAAGGCCAAGGCCATCATCAGCTCGACCTCGTTCGAACCACGACGAAATCTTTTAACATTAGTAAAAATAACCTGTGCGGACAGACTAAGTGTCATAAAAAAACCCAAAAAGGGAAAAGCAGCAAATAGACGAAGCGACAAAAACAAGAGTTTATATTACAACAAAAATCATTTACATTCGTCCCTACGGACGGGCCTTAGTACAACCCGCAACCAAAAAGTGCAGAAACAAAATAGACGAGCTTAAACAACTCATTACCCCCTATGGGATAAGCGTCTTCATACCATGAATCCGAGTCAAGGCGGTTGACGTCCTCAGAAGTAACGTCCTCCCCATCAGGAGAGTTAGGGTCATACCCGCATGATTCGTGAGCGGTACGTGCCTCATTATGCGCCGCCCGAACCTCTGCCTCCGTCGCCCGGCCCTTAGTGTGAAAAGTTCTATATACATCAAGTCGAGCCTCCGCATAGACCCACATCTCATATGTACTATGAGGCGGGCCCTGACCAGATGGAGGACGACATGAGGAGGGCCGAGAACGATGATCTTTTTTCTTCTGACCTCGGTGGGGCTACCTGCCTTTGCAACGCAGCCAATTTATCGGTGTTAGCACTCGCTCGCCCTTGAGCCTATCAACTTCCGCCATCTTAGCACCCAGCTCGGCTGTTAAACCAGCTATCTTCTGCTGCAGGTCCGCATTCTCCGCAGTCACCCCTCGACTCAACTCGAGTTCATCCTCCTTCGCTCTAAGGAGGGTCTCCAACTTGCTGCTGCGAGCAACGGCTCTCACAAGCTCCTCATCCGTCTCCTCCAGCTCCGCCACCCTACGTTCCAACTGGGCCTCCCTCTGCTTAAGCCCCTCGCGGAACACTTGGAACTCAGGGTCCTATTGGAAGATGTCGGCCATTGCTCGGTGCTTAGTGCGATACTTTCGACACTTCGTCAACATCTTCTTATAGAGGTCCGTCCTCTTCCGCTCACGACGATCTCTCTCCACCTCCAGGACGAGGGTCTAAAAAAAAATAGAAGTAAGCACATTTCCATGTCGATCCTACAACACGCAAAAAAGAAGAAGAGCGGACTGTAGTTGGGGTGAGGAAACCTACCTGTAAGGCCATGCCGGCGACCTTCTGAGACAGCTCCATATCATTCATCGTTTTGAGCGTCTCACTCTCAGGAGCGGCACATAAAAGGGTAAAGGTCGATGCGGCCTGCTCACTATTTAACAGCAAGTTGTAGTCTCCCGGGATCACTATACGACGATCAGACCCATCCGTCACCGTCTCCACATGGGTATGACGATCCAGAAATTCATTTACGTCCTCCGGGGCCACGTCGGAACCCGATTCATCAGCTTCCACGCTAGGCCCTCCGACGTTAGTCGACGAGCCCCCCTCGGCGGGCCGCACCAAACTATCTCCAGGCATCAGCCATGAACACAGGCCTTGGCATCGTCCGGGGTGCCCCACTTCCGTCAGCTTCAGCGGCTACCCCCTTTCCCACCTCTAGTCTTCTCCTCTTTCTTTCCAACGACTCTTCACCATTGGAAGATTCGTCGACAGGTTGCGGGGCCGGTGCCATCGAGGTCGACTCCCCCATAGTCGCAGCTGCGGACGTGGCCCCCTGTTGAGAAATTAGAGGACGACCCTCTCGGACAGGCTCGCACAATATATCCCGAGCGTCCAAGGCGACGTTGGGTTGCATGAAAGAGGGAATTGGCGCCTCCTCCTAGAAGCACCTCGACCTGTTGCCATAAAATCAAACAGGTAAGCAAGGTCGTATAATCGACGAGACAAAAATCAGAAGTTTACCCGAAGAAACTTTAGGGTCGTAACATTACAGGAAGGCAGGCCAAGTTCGAGTCTCCTCTACGTAAGGTAGCAGGCCGGCGACCCAGTTCCTGAGACCCACAACGGGCTGGGGCGGACGAGCCATGGCTGCAATGCAAAAATTAAAGTCGCAGTAATAGCATGCAACGAAGAACCTAATAAACTACAGCACTTACGTGTCCTGTTCCACCTCTCTGGAAATCCAGTGGGGTCAGAAACCACGTGCTCGGTCCTGATAAAGAAATACTTGCGCCAGAATCCACGGCTCGCCCGGATGTCTATTCCGACCACCAACCCCTTTGTACCACGAATTCTCAAATGCACCATGGTCCCTCTAAGGAAACCGGCTATAAATAAATGCAAGAGATGATGAACAGAGACGTCACATTCGCCCAACTCCGCGTACTTGGCCAGCAGCAGAAGCACTTTAAGCGTGTATGGCGTAAGCTGAGCCGGGCAGATGTTATAGAATCTGCAGAACTCTTCCGCTAGGGGAAAAAGAGGAAGGTCGTAACCTATCAAAAAGGGGTATTCGTAAAAGTCACAATACCCCGGCCTATGAATGTCAACATAGTCCCCCCCCCCCGCAAGGACCATCTCTACGTGGGCAGGGATACTGTATCTAGCACGGAGGTCATCCAAGTGATTCTGTTCCGTCTCGAAAAGCTCCGGAATCGGAATAGTGGGGAATCCTTATTGAAATCACACCGAGGCAAAGAATGCTTCGGTAATAATGCTTCCACTGTAAGAGGAGTGACGTCCTCCTCTACCTCCACTTCTCCGCCATCGGAGGAGGGTGGCGCGTTCAATGGAGCAGCCTCAGAAACCCTTTCGTTGGTACGGTGAGATTTAGGCATGATCTTGTTTGGAGAAAGTCTTACACAACGGAATAAAAAAAAGAGGAAGAACCCCCGATCAAGAACGAAAGCGCAGGAATATGAAAATCAAGAGAGGAGGGCTAGAAAATTCTCAAGAATGACCAAAGTTCTTCAACGAAATTGAACCCTTCTCCTATTTATAGGGTTGGGTGGCGCCAGAATCGAGGCGGCAGATTGCAAATCAGCGCGGGAAACCAAGCGCCATAGCGCCAACCTTTTTGCCTCGAGAATACGCGTAATGATGACGCTTGTGAACGCTGACGTCACCCAGGGAAGAGTGTTTCACCTCAACGTTCTGACATATATGATTACCGTCTCCCACAGGTCACGTCGTAACATTTCGACAAGTCAAACTCCCCCTGACGGAAGTATTGATTCTGCCCATCGAGGACGCATCTCGCTGCGACCCTGACGAGCGGAGGGACTAACTATATGGGGTCGAATTTGATCGATCGCGTCTCAAAGTCAACACGACCAACCACCGAATACCTACGAGTCGGCATAAGGGGACGACCCGGGGGCAAGAGGAGAAACGACCCCACGTTATCGTTGGCTCTGTAATAGAATGTACTCTAATTTTATCTTCTCGTTAATTAAGTAAGGATCCTCTATTATATAAAGGGGATTCGGGTCTTGTAACTGGGATCTTTTTTCTTCTGCGGGGAATACACAAGCTCATTCTCTCTTTCATCTTTATCTCTCTACTCTTCTCTCTCTCTCTCCTTCACTATTACTGATATTCCGATTATTAAAGGTATCCTAGGGTTTATTATTTTTGATTACGATTTACCCTTTCATCATTTTGATTGATTTGCTCAAAAAGAGTTAATATCTTTTGAGTCAAACAGTAATTAGGTCTCAATTCCAACTAGTTAATATTGATATTTTTAGCTATATGGACGATTAACAGAGATTTTACGTTTTTGACACAATTTCTAACGTGATTTTGTTTAGTTTGTCTACATCTGGCACCTTCAGTAGTTCAGTTCTCATAATGACGTTATTGAAAAAAATATTATCATAATTCATAATTTATTACTCTTATAGATAAATCTACGTAACACATGATCAAACCATTTAATGTATATGACTTTATTTTTATCATTCACATATAATATTATACTCTCTGTCTAATGTGACTATTTTACTGCACATACATTTTAAAGTTCATATTTTACTGTGTACGATTGATCAACACGTCAGGCACGTATGTATTTGGTGTAGAGGAATTTCTTGAGAAGATTATAGGAATTCAATCAATTTCATGTGAGTTTGTAACTAGGGTTTTTGTTGGGGAAACTAGAGAGAGAGAGAACAGGAGTTTATTTTTATTGAAAAAGGAAGAAATGAATCAGTTGTCTTGTCTAGAAAGTTCTACTATCTTTATTTATATTGGGTATACTCTTGTTATTTACATTGGGCCAAAATATCCGGAAAAATAAACTAGCCTAACCTAAAATACAATATAACATAAATATCTAAATATCTAAGTTGGGCCATCCTCCTTGCCTGTTTGGGCCTGGTGTGTATCAGCAATTTTTCCAACACCCCCCCCCCTCCCCCCTCAAGTTGGAGGGTGGGAGAACCCCCAACTTGGGTAAAGAGCATGATGTATAATCCCAGTAAGGGGCTTGGTGAATATGTCAGCCAACTGTTCAGATGTGGAAACATGGTGCAAAGAGATGAGCCCTTCCGTAAGCTTAGTCCGAATGAAATGGCAATCCACCTCAATGTGTTTGGTACGCTCGTGCAAAACAGGGTTCTT